TATCTTTCTTTCTCTGACTCATCTCTAAGCCTGAGGGCGGAACCAAAGTTCATCTGTTTCTTTTACTAACCCGGACGGCTTTGAGCGACACACTCTTCTTCCTGATTCCAACCTAGGAAGACAGCTGGGATTCTCTCCGGAGAAACCTCAGTTTGGCTTTAAGTCTGATCCCATGAGCTAATTAGGGAAGACTTCACAGCCAGGGACCTGGCACGCCTGCCAGTGGATCCAACTCGAGGCTTCAAGCCTCTAAGTATGTTTTTAACTCCCGAGGGGAGATTTTATTTTGGAAGGAGGAACCGGATACGGCTTGAAATTTTCTGGCTTGGACTGAAACAGATGAAAGTTACCTGGAAAACACCTGTTCGCCAATGACCAGTAAGCGAGCCGACATCAGTTCCCTGACTGATCGGAGGCGAGCCAGCTCCTACCCCGAGGGTGCCTTAAATACATCCCCAAATACATGGCCCCCAAATACATCCTGGACCTTCTGAAGCCTCTCTGTCCATCCAGGACTCTGAGGTCTTCTAATCAAATGTTGCTGGTGGTCCCTCGAACCCATTATAAAACCCGTGGAGACAAAGCTTTTCAGGTAGTGGCCCCGAGGCTCTGGAACGCTCTCCCTCTGTCCCTTCACTGCTCAGATTCTACTGACTCTTTTAAGAAACATCTGAAGACATTTTTATTCAGACAGGCTTTTAGTTAATGTGYTTTTTATTGTGTTTTAACTGTTGTTTTTGTATCTGTGATCTGTTTTATTGTTTTTAATTATTTTTATTTATTGCTTTCTGTGAAGCACTTTGTGATGTTTGTGTCTGTGAAAGGTGCTATACAAATAAAGTTTACTTACTTACTTAAGAAGTCATCATCAGGTAAAAGCTGATGTGTTCGGAGTGACGTGTCATGTGGAATCTGAGCTTAGAAAAGATGTGGAGTTCCGGTTGACCCACACTTTGATAAAAGTAAAAGTAGTAGTAACATACTAATCTTACTTTCCTCCTTTCCTTGTTCTTAATTTGCCAAAACTTAAGCTAAAAGTGCCAGTAAAATTGTTTAGTTGTTAACATCAGAACTGACGTTTTTACTGTTCTATATAAGGAATCTGAGTTGATGTGAATTGAAATTCGGACGCGGGTTTCTCTGACGCTTTTTATAGGAATAACCACAATCAAGTGTAACTTATGATCTGTTCAATTTGTGTAAATAAATGATTGCATAGTCTTTTATGAATCAACTTGAACGCGTCTGAACTTTCACTTATTGTGTCACTTTTCACTTCGCAGTCAAGAAATTAACAAGTAATGAGAAAAACCTTGGTAAAAGTTTCCTCATAACCTTGTGTATGAAAGATGTGGGAAAAGCTTAATTCAGCTTAAGCTCACTCCTACATAATGCTCATCTTCATGTCATGTCACTATAGTAGCTCTGTATGTGTCTGTGTGTGTGAGGGGACTGTTTCGTTTTATTTTAGCTGTTTTTTAAAAAGGTCCAACCAAGGACTGAGTTTGCAAATTAGCTTCTGACTAAAAGAACTAACAAYGGTTGCTTTGTTTTTATCATATAACATTGTTTATTGTGCTGTCCTTGATTAAATCAACTTTGAATCAGACTCCAAATGTTAATGAATTTCTTTCAAGATGGCCACAGCTAACTGCAGTTAACCAATACAAAAATGTCTATAACTCAGCCAAATGCAGAGATATTGGGCTTATTTTGGTGTGGTAGTAGCTTAGAATAATTCTCAATACAAACTAGTTTTGACCAAAACAGCAACAATTAATCATTT